AATATTTTTCTTTTAAACTTTACAAATTTTTTTCTCAAAAACTATAGACTTTGGTAAAAATTTTCTCAGAACAAAAATGTCTTAGAATTAGTTAGAGTATACTCTCAATTTTTTCTAGAATTTTTCGTAGATAATTTTTGTATTTTTCGTAAAAATACACAAAATTGAAATTTCCAAAACGTCATAAAAATTACTGAAAAATTTCAAGAGTATTCTTTGACTAATTCTAAGACATTTTTGTTTCAAGGAAATTTTTATTTAAGTTTATAGTTTTCGAGAAAAAAGTTCTTAAACTTTACTAAGATAAACTTTCATCACATTTTTCTATGAAATAAAAAAATCAAGAATTATTCAAAGAGCGTCCGCAACATTTTTCAAAATTTCTCACGATTTTTCTAATTTTTACTATATTAATTTTTTTGAAAATTGAAAGTCTATGCCTTATCCAATTTTTGGACAGAAACGACTATAAACTTAAATAAAAATTTCCTAGGAACAAAAATGTCTTAGAATTAGTCAAAGAATACTCTTGAATTTTTTCAGAATTTTTTATGACGTTTTTGGAAATTTCGATTTCGTGATTTTTCGAAAAATCAAAAATTATCTCGAAAAATTCTGAAAAAAATTAAGAATATACTCTAACTAATTTTAAGACATTTTTGTTCTGAGAAAATTTTTATCAAAGTCTATAGTTTTCGAGAAAAAAAATTTTTAAAGTTTAAAAGAAAAATATTTCATTTCGGCCGCCATTTTGTTTCACCAAAAACTTTAGACAATAAAATAGCTCCATTTATTTTAAGTTTAGACCGAGGCCACGATCTAGATAGGTTTTAAGCATATAGAAAAATGTAAAAGGAACGAAAAATAATTTTAAAAAAAATTTGATTGAAAAATCACGATTCTTTTTTATTTTTGATTTTTCCATGATAAAACTTTTTTGTGGAGATTTTTAACTATCATCATTGGAAAGAGCACCCTTCAAAACATAGGAGACAATGGTTCCCGAATTTTTGCTACTTGAATTCATTACATGTCGACAATTTAAACTTAGATGTCGAAATCGTGTCTTTTGGGCGTTATTGGGCGTTAAGACTTTAAATTTAAACATGAAATACTTTAGATAAATACATTTATCTAAACATTAGTAATATATACATTAGTAATATATTAATTGTATGTAACAAACCTTTAATTTCATCAATGGATGATTGTCTTTAATTTCATCAATGGATGATTGTCTTTGTATAATAAATTTAGTTTTTACTGTCTTGATATTAGTAATCTTACAACTGAAAGTAAAAATGTTCCATGTTTTTATACAATAATACAAAAATTATTATTTAAAAAATATATATTTATTTGTTGCAACTGCAGTTACTGAATCTAGTTCCTTTTTTTTATTATTTATAATAAATGATACATTTCGTTATATAAATTAAATTATCAGTATCATTGTAAATTAAATTATGTACACTTTGTATAAGATACTATTAAAAAAAATTACATAAAAGATTAAGAATGTATCATTTGGATTTCCTGTAAAAAGGAAATGCATCAATAATTCTGAAAATAGAAATGTGTTAATATTAAAAAAAATTACATTTTCCAGTATTATTCTTGTTATGATACATATGTTAAATGCCAATGTTTCGTAAACATTGCAATTTATTTCATCAGATCGAGGAGCAATCTTTCGAAAGCATACGTTCATGAATTCGCTCATGAAATGTTGACATTTAATAATGTATCATGATAATCACGGATAATGTATTATTTTTTTGAAGAAAATAACTGTCTCAAAAGCATGTGTTAATATTTATATTTTCCATATATAACTGAATAATGATGTTATTCACACAATTATCTTTGGAGATGCTTACTATTATCTGTATCTATATGTTAT